GCTTCTCCATCTTTGGATGCAGAGAACATAATCAATCTGATTTCGGTATTGACCATCATATGATGTCCATGTATAGAGTCGCCTCTTGTGTTGTTGGAAAAGAATGTTTGTGATGACCAGTTTGTTCTCTTGACAAAACTCTATTATCCTTTGCCCTGCTTCGTTTTGAACTCCAAGGCCAAACTTCCCTCTTGTTCCGTTTATCTCTTGACTCCCTACTTTAGCATTCCAATCCCCTATAATGAGAAGAACATCTTTCTTTGGTGTCAGTTCTAGAAGGTGTTGTAATTTTTCTTAGAATTGGTCAATTTCAGCCTCTTCAGCATTGGTTGTTGGTGCATAAACGTGGATTACTGTGATATTGAAAGGTCTGCCTTGGATTCGTACTGAAAAAATTCCATCACTTTGAGATTGTATCCCAGTACAGCTTTTCCCACTCTTTTGTTGACTATGAGGGCTACTCCATTCCTTCTACAGGATTCTTAAGGAGATATATTGGTTAAAACTATTTTAAATAAATAAATAAGCAAAGGTAACAAAGGAATGAACAAACGAACAAATCTGACTCTAAAGCAAAGAGGAGTGATGCTGATTTTTGGAACTACAACTGCCCAGACCTCCTACTAGCATGACTATGGTCATCATGTGTGGCATGTTCTGAGAGATGAAGTACCATTTTCACCTTTTCTTTAAAGATGTAGCTAGTAGCTGTGGGCTCTTTTGCTAATTTTTTTCTAACAGTTTGAAGTGCTACCTCGCTCTTTTGCTAATTTTTTTTCTAACAGTTTGAAGTGCTACCTCTTAAAAACAGTTTTATAGGATTTCACTCTGCACCAGGACTGGAGGCTTAATATTTTTCTACTCTGTTGTAATATTACTAATACCACTCATGGTCTCTCTCTGTCTCTGTCTCTGTCTCTCTCTCTCTCTCTCACACACACACACACACACAAAGAGAGTTTTAAAATATCTTCATTGATAACAAAGGTGTTTTTTCCCCCTAAGCTAATGGGGGGGGGGGAGAGATTATTGGCTACAACACTGGTGAAGAAGAAAATATTAAACTTCCTCTACCCTTTTTGCAAGGAAGATCCTGATAAAAATTGGACCTTCCTGTAAATAAAATAGTATAAATAGAATTTTAAAATAGAATACTGACAAAGCTGCCAATTGGATCCTTAAAGTAACACTTTACAGAATAAAATGAGACAGAGAAAGGAGATCAACAAGGCTATGGTCACATCTAAAAATAAATACATGAAGTATAAAACAAAAATGAAGCTGAGCCAGCGAAGGCAGCAATACTGAAACATAAAATAATTTGAATGATATGCAAGGGAGTAGAGGGATATTATCCGGAAAAACTAAGAAATTTATCCTGCAAAGCTCAAGCAGTGCTAGACAGACATTGATCAATCAACAAGACATTTTCAGAGCACAAAAGAAAACATCTTAACAATACTGTATGTACAACTTTTTAATGCTATGTTATTGCTATTATCACTATCATCTCATGTTTTGTAAGCAACGTAATGGCTGCTCCACTACTATTTTCATTGTGAAAACAGAATAAGCAAACTAAGTGTCGAACACAAATATCTTGCATATCGGCAGGCTTTTAAAACTGAGAGTTCCAGGTGGATACAACACCATAATGACAAAGGTCAAGGCCTGTTTTCAAAAGCAGTTTCTAAGCATAGAACCATTAAGGTACCTTTCAAATGTTTTACCAGATAGCATCAAAGTCCTGGTAACACACCGTTTCGAGTCATCAGGAAAGGAAGGCTTGTAGCCTTTCTATTTCACTGTGAAATCCTGACCAAATCACTCCTTTAAGCATAACGAACAAAATGTAATTTTTGGTAAGCATTTCTGTAACCTTCCAATCAGTTTTGAAAGCCAACAGTAGTGTCATATATATACCAGATAGATAGATAGATAGATAGATAGATAGATAGATAGATAGATAGATAGATAGATAGATAGATAGATAGATAGATAGATAGATAGATAGATAGATAGATAGATAGATAGATAGATAGCTACCAACATTGACAGAAATGTTCTGAACCTAAGGATCAAAAAGAGGCCCAGTCAAAATTGGAACAATTTCTAGCTTGGCTGCATCAACAGATGATTATGAGTGCAAGAAATATAGGAAGTTGATCAAGGAACAGAAAATTAGCCATAGTCTTTAGTGAGTTGATTTGAATAGGTCAAATACATTGTTTTTACTTGTTGCAATGTTATAGACTGACTATTTCTTCTCCCTGCAGCCCCAACCCCTGGCTCCCCAAAAGCTGATCCAAAGGGGCTGGGGGACCTTATTGAACATCATGGAACATGGTGTAGGAAGGTGGAGGTGAAATTGATGAAAACTGCCCCACTCCCACCCCTGAGATCCTTCAGTGAGTCTTTTCTATGAACAAAAGGGACATTCTAATTCTCCTACAGTTGTTTGCTTTTTTGTGTGTAATTTTACCCTCTAGGCTACTTTGAGGATTCTTAATGACATGCCAAGTTTAAAATGCTAAACAGAAATCTAAGGGCGAAATCCTGGCTAACCAAGAGGGCTGTGGACTGGCTAAGCTGATACTAAACCAGCTGAGACTCTGATGAATCCAATCCCCTTCCTGCCTAGGCCTGCTGGAAATTATTTAGGATTACCCTGATCCTGGCCTAATATTGCACCAACTTACAGTCTGAGCTAAGAGGGACATGGGTCTGGCATCACCTGGCTTTTCCCTTGTGCCTCTCCTTCTCTGCCCCCCACTCCTTTTTTGCTCTTCTGCCATCTCAGTCAGCACAGCAGTTGTGGTGGTATACCTGAGATGACCCAGGGTTAAAGGGTTTTGCACTGGCACATAAGCCTTCTGTTCATCCCAAAGCCACTACAGCCATTGTACTCTTGAGTTTGGATTCCACTCTATTAAGTCAGTAAGTGAAATTTAACACTGCTGATTGCACTGAGCAGCATTTTGGACTAGGAAATGAAGACAAAGTTTCAAAGGCTAAGGGTTTCTGTCAACCTAATGAGTTTTCGATTTTCCCTTTTCTACAGCAGACTCCCACACACCATGCCACTGCCTCCCTTTGAAAATCTCTTCAGTAGTTTTCTGTGAGGCAATGGGGCTTCCTCTTGAGAAACGCTGGGTATCTTTAAAAGCCAATTAAAAACATGGATGTTTATTCAGGCCTTCCCTCCAGTCAATACTTGATTCTTTCTTTTTATTCTTTCTTTCTTTATTCTTTACTCTATTTTTCTGGTATGTAAATTGTTATTCGAAGATTCATGTAATATTTTTGTGTTATTTTATTAGTTGTCTACGTTATCTTGGAAGCCACCTAGAGTGGTCGTATAGACCAGATGGGCAGGATACAAATCGAATCGAATCAAATCAAATAAATAAATAAACAAACAAACAAACATAAGTCTATGACATTTGAGCTCATATAACTACCTGGATGTGGCCACAGAAATTGGTTTTGGTTACATCTGCTTTGCAGAAACAGCTTCATATTTTTCTGTCATAATAAAACATAGGGCAGATCCAAATCCATTCATTTCCCCGCTGAGATACTACCCACCCAGACAGAGTCGGCCCACAAACCTATGTGTCTCAGATGCATACATAGGCTTCTGCTGTAAGTCGCTGAACTTCTCAGGCTTAACTGCCATAAGTTTTTAAAGGAAATGACCAGCTGTTAAAATATCAAGTTACAGAAGAGATAAATATGATAATGGCAATAAACATGAACTCACCTCTATTCCTTTATGTCTTACAAGATATCCTTTGTACCAATCTAAAATTCAAAGCAGAATATTGTATGTTTTTGAATATCCAATGTGTGTACATTTCTGTTTTTGATTTTTTTTCTAAAGAAGCTCTTAAGTATAATAATTGTATATTATTAAGAGATTGGACAGCCTCAGATGCTGTTTGGTTCAAAATGAGAAAGCTCGTTGAGACTTTAAAGGGTGGCTCACAATCTATCTGTCGATTCTTAAAGAAGGTTGGCCTGTTTCTTTGCTCAAATACAGGAATATCTTCACTGTGAACAGAGTATACATATTTGTGAGGAAATCCTGAAAAATTAGGTGAATTCATATCAGCTGCTTAAAAAGCAATCCCCCTTTTAAAATGAGGCTTTGAAACTGAAAAACTTTATTCAGTCCTTGGTCACTTCTGGTTTTAGCAGAAAGGGGTGATATAATCTTTGCAGCCCATGGTGCCAGATTGTAGTAAGTAGTATATATTTAAAGGAATTTAAGGGTTCCAGACTCTTTGCAGTCACCTCAGAAAAGCTGAAAGGGTGTGCAAGTCCCAGTTTTTCGTAAGCTCAAATCTATACCAAAAACAATGGTTTATTTTCTCACAAACCACTTTTTAAAAAATCTCATTGCTCCAGTATCAGATTCTATAGAGAAATGTCATTTGTCTAAAAATCAGGAGTGAAAACTATCAACTCTCACTCTGGAAAGCCAAAGGGGGGCAGGGGTGTAGCGCATGAATACCAGGATCACAAGTCATATTGGACTGGATATTTTGGGTCCTCCAGGGCCAAATAATAATAATAATTCTGTGCCATCAAGTCAATTCTGATTTATGGCAACGCTTTCCAGGATTTTCTAGGTGGAGAGTACTTGGAAGTATTCTCTTTTTCTGGGGTGCCTCAGGACTGTGCCCAAGCCACACAGGCTGGCTCTACTCACAAGGAAGCACAGTGGGGAATTGAACTCCCAACCTCTGACTCTGCAGCCAGTTGCCACTGGGCTATCCAGTAGCCCCACGCCTTTAATCTCTTTTGATTTCTCTCCCTCAATCTTCCTTTAAAACCATAAGTACAATATACAATAAATATATGGGTTATATAATACATGAATAGATCAATTCTAAACAAATATTAAATTTCAGCCATGAAATATATGAAGAAGTACTTCTTTTTGTTCTGCCCTGCATCTCCCATCACTAAGCTTTATTGGGCAAATCTGGGTTCTAACATTACAAAATCTTCCTCTAACCTCTTTCTCCATACCATGCATATTTTTATATGCCCCTATCATTTCCTAACTTGCCTTTTCTCTAAACAAATGTTTCACGATCTCTCTGGCATTGTTATAAACACCTTGGGGGGGCTTATGCTGATTCAAACAATTGAGGCTTGAGATGGGTAGATTACAGTATTTCTTTTCTACTGGCTGATTTTTTCTTGCTCTGAGTAAAGAAAGCCTCTATGTTTTGTCCAATTCTCAGCTCCAGAGGTACAACAAGCATCCTTTTCAGAGGTTTGTTTTGCCTCGTAGGCCTGTCGGACTGGACTAGAGTTTACCAATGGGAGCCACAATTGCTTTGACAACCATTTCCTAGAGGCAAAAGCCACCTGAGTCTAAGCATAGCTTCACTGACAGCAGGAAGGGCACGGCAGGCCTACAGAAACTCTCCCATACTAGGCAACCAAATACTCTCTGCTATGGGGGTGGGGGAGAGGAATAAAGAATTTCTCTCAGTTATTGGTATTAACTCTTGGGTCTAGCCACAGGCTAGGCCAAAAATTGCCAACTTCTTTAGCCTCAAGGTTGCTACTCTGCTCTGTAATTGAATTATAGGTTTATTAATAATATATGCTCTCACAATGTGCAGTCGCAGTTAGATGTTAAACATCCTAAATAACTGTTGTTGTGTGTCTAGGAGTTATTTCTTCTGTCACCCACTTGGAAGTGTCTCACTTTCTCCTTTCTGGCTTATTATCTTGTCCCTGTTGTGAACCTACAATCTTATATTGAAACTCAAAACAAAGGAGGCAGCATGGCTAAAAATAGGAAAGAAATTACACTTCCAACTCAGATGAGTCCAGTCATAACTGGAGGCTGAGATACTTTTAGATAAGTGAGGCAGATGGTATAAGGCAAGGGTATAGTTTACATAGGATGAAGCAATCACGTATGGCTTTGTGACTCACAAAGAACAAGCTCCTCCACCCCAGCTCAAATTTTATGCTTAATTCTAGTCAATGACCTAGATTGCCTGGCCCGGCCCTAATGGCAGGCATAATGTTAGCCATAGAAAAGTACCATTAATACTTCCCTTGAAATAACTATTTTCCTGCCAAAATTGAGTTGGGCCTTGGGGTGGAGAATATAATATGCAGAATTGGCTTTGAGAATGTGCATTATATAGTGTTACATATTGTCCTGTATTTAGTGGAAATGTGAATTATAATCAAAGATACAGTATTATTCAAAGATCAGAAGCACAGGTTAAAAAAATTATTTGCTTGACATCATGCCCAGTGAGGGCAAATGAATAAAAACCAGGAAATTTTAAACTCATTATTATGATTAAAGTATGAAAGTTTTGGTCATGTAATAAGATCATGAAAACACTTTCTTATAGCTTATAATTCAAAGTAAAATAAATGTAGGGGAGACAGCAGGAAAGAGGAGAAGCTATTTAGCTGAAGAGCTTTTGGGACTGGTTTGAACGCTTCACATAGTTATTGTTTAGAGTTGCTGCATGTAAAGTCAGCAGGGTGGTGTTAATGTCCAAACTCGTGATAGGAGAGATACAAAAGTATTTTCTAAGGACCTCATTTTAAGATTTGTAGCTCAAGAGAGACATCTGCTGGGAAGACCTGTATATGGCATGTTCAGTACTTCCTAGTAGCTATCCAGTCCAGCAATGTTCATGGTGACTGTACAGTCATCACATTTGACATCACATTAATGTAATCTCAAAGATAAACACACTGTCCCTTTGCAACCTCTAATATATTATACCGAGTTATAAAGAGACAAGTTAAATATGTTGGAATTAAAAATAAAGTCGAAAAGGTCATCATTTCTGCTACAAGGAAATCCCCACACACGGCTTCATTTTTTCAGCTGCTTGTCAAAAGCAGAAAAAGCCAGGGGAGAAGGCTGTTCTCTTACTTCCTCTCTCCCTGTTCTTCTGCCACTGTAGCACCCAGACCAGCTTCTTGCATAATACTAAAAACAGTACAATGTATGTATTAATAAGAGAGACTGTTAAAAACACAGAGGGTAGAAACCATCTTATGCAATGAAACCTCTCCCTTCTCTCCTCTTCCGCAGCCTCCCATGCCCCTCTGCTCTGCATGGTTAAGCCCTCCCAAGCACAGAGCATACAGAGGGAGAGGAGAAATTCTCCGAGCTCTGCTGACGGAAGCAATTCCATCAACAGAGAAACGACTCTGGACTTCACCCCTTATATAAAAACAACAGTAAAATAAACTGACAGCATGGAGGCTAAAAAATATTTCAGATTATAGACTCAGGAAAGCAGCTCTGAGGCGGGATTGCCACGGTAGCCTCTCAGCCATAGTGAACATTTCTAAGGTCATTTCCTTCAGTTTTATATACGCACCAAAATACAACGCAAATTAAATGTAATATTTACATATTCCTGCATTTCTTCACAAATACAATACGATTGCTACTACATTGTGCCACTTCATAAAAACTTCAAAATCAATGTTAGGGATAATATCAGAGCTTGCAAATATGTCCATATTGGCTTGACCGTCTAACAGGAGGCAACTGAAGACATGACTTTTCAGGGAGGCTTTCCACACTGACCCTAGCTGACCGCCTTTGTCCACCATTTAGTTGGTCTTTAGTTTGCGCCATCTGGTTTATTGCTTAGCTGTTATTTGGTTTTAAATAGTTTTCATTTCATTTTGGTTTCTTTGGGGTTACTGTAAACTGCCTAGAGTAGTGCTTTGGCACTGATGGAAAGCAGTATACAAATTTATGAAACAAACAGGCCAAGTAAAAAGGGGGGGGTGGACTTTATCTAAATTCTGGATTAAGCTGAAAATAAGACATCTCGATTTATAAAGTTTTGTCTAGAGGTGGGATGGGCAAACCCTGAAAATCTGCAGATCATTTTTCGTAATCTCTGGAACCATCCAGAGGCTGCCCCAGCCCTTCTACATAATACTGGAAATTACCAGAAGGTCCTGCTGAGCATGGAAAAGTACCCTTTAGTTTAAGGATGGCGAGGGGAATTTCATTGTTTGTGGTTGTTTTTGTTCAAACCAGGTCTCCACTTGCCATCTGGAGACACAATTTTCACTTGAGGTAGACTTCAAAACATTCAACCAATGGGGAGGGGGGGCTCCAGAAAACAACACTGGGGGCCACATGTGGCCTGTGAGCTGCATGACCTTTGTGTCCTCCCCTCAGTTTCACCAAAGTCATTGTGAGTGTTGAGATTTGGGTTTTGGGGCTTTTTAGAAGAAATGGTGTTCTGTTTGTCTGTAGTTTGATTATTCTACCTCAGATTTCCACATTTTCTTTGCCCACCCACTGGGGCAAAGAGACAAAGTAAGCAATTTTCCACTTTCTGATAACAACAGATTTATTTGTACTCCATATTTAAGTAGCTACCCACTGTGGTGCAGTGGGTGGACTAGGACTCTGGAGGCCTCGGTTCAAATCCCTGCTCAGCCATGAAAGCTAACTGAGAGTGCAGAACTGTTAAAAATCACTCTTTAAATATCTCAGTGACATTAAAAGCCCTATTTGGGTCATCATAATTGGTTTGCAAGTTGATGGCACATAACTACGACACTTAAATACATCTCTTGCCATTTTGTGTCAGTAGGTAATTAACAAACTGTAAGAGGGAATCTCCCTGACCCATTGGAAGTATGGCCAGGAAACAACTGAGCTGGGAATATTTTAGATTATGACTCCCATAATCCACCAGCCAGTTTGATCGTTTTTGCCCGGATGATTCTGCTTGTTCGTGCACATTTGAAATAAAACAATAGAAAACAGCAGTGCCCCAGAGAGCTTTCCTTCCAATGTGCTTGTAATACAAACTTGTGAAGAAAACCAGTCATCCCTGGACTACAGCTGTAACAATATACCTTTCACGTTACTGTCTTACCTTCACAATCTTCCAATATGTGGACTACATCACCAATATGCAGGGATAACTGTGGCACTCTTACAGCTCTGAAATTGTATATTGCTGTGAAGACACAAAATAAACCATCATGGAGTCCAAAAGACTAGAATTTGAAATCAGCTGTTGCATTGGGACCTAACGCTGCATCACAGGACTGGGCTTTAAGAATGAAAAATTGTTGAATGTGAGGTTCATTTGCTCCCTTTTTGTCTTCTTCCCTCTGACACAGCTTTTGCCTTTATTATCCATTACTCACAGAACCCATTTTTTAAAAATCTGAACCAAGAACCATGTTTGGTGGTAACTGACAGATTTGGATAGCAAACCACAGTTTGAAATAAGTTTGCTTCCCTAAACCACAGTCTTTTGGATACAAGCAAGCATACTGTCGAACTATGGGTGGAGGGATAGATACAGTTTGTGAAACAAACTTCCACCCTTGGAAGATGGGAGAGAAAATCAGTCTGTTTCCAAATTGAAAATTGTCCTTTCAAGTCTGAAACAAATTGTTGTATGCTGAACTATCTTAAAGAGCCAATACACTTTAATCTTCTCCTCCTTCCCTCCTATGTCACTGTAATTGAGAAATCAATCGTTGACCAAAATACAGAAAAAACTAAAGAATGCAACCTTAAGATATACAAAACCAACTACTGTACTACCAACTTCATAGCAAAAAAGAAGCTGTTTGTGCATGTCTTCTTCCATTAGGTTAATTTATTATCTTCAGTGCAATTATTGTCAAATCGATTCAATTTTCTTTTAGTGGTCAAATCCTGCTAGATATTTACACCAGTATATAAATACCACCTCTAAATTTCAGAGGCAAATTTCTGCAGGTTAAGAAACCTGCATAGGCATTTGCTGTTGCACACAATTGCAGTGCAATAGGAAATGACTGTGCTGACTTCTTAACACATGGCAATTTGCCATTGAAACTTATACTGATGGAGTTATGGCAGAGGGTATCATTAATAGGATTCTGGCCAATTTAATGGTGTAGGCTACTCATTGCCCTCGCCACACCCATGAGCTGGGTACTCAATTTGGAAGGATGGAAGGTTGAGTCAACCTCAAGCTGTCTACCTGAGCCTGTTGGGATTGAACTCAGGTCTTGTGCAGGGTTAACCAATGCACCACAAAGTTCCTAAAGTTTCCCTTTGTCTTCTCCTGTTTGTTTGTTTGCTTGTTTGTTTGTTAAATGCACCACAAAGCTCCTAAAGTTTCCCTTTGTCTTCTCCAGTTTGTTTGTTTGTTTGTTTTATTATATTTTTAAAATCTCCCACTTGCCTAGCTAAGTAGGACCTGCTTGACTGACCTACCCACGTATGACTAATCACTTACAGATCAGTATTTCAGTCATTCTCCTTCAGATGCAAACTATTAGTATTTGGACTGAAGTCTCCCAATTGACCAAATCCTGTTGGGCTGCAGTCCTAAAGATGTGGCAGGGGAGAAGTGGGGCTTTCCAATGCCAAAGCCTCTCACATGTCTAAAACCCTGTTGGCTCATTTACCATCTGGATTACTGTTTTGGGGGGTTTTTTTAAGTTTTATTCCATTTTTAAAATATAGATCCAAGAAATAATGGGGGGGGGAGAAAGATAAAAAGGGGAAAGTAATATACAACAGAATAATGGGCCAGGCATACATGCCAACTTGAGGTTGGCATGTGTGATGCCCATAAGTAACAAAAGCAGTAAAATCTTCTAACCATTCGACAACGGGTGTTTAATATTTATCTTTCCAATCTTGGGGGACAAACCTTTCAGTTACAGTGAGCGTTCAGATGATCCAATAACGCTGACCATCTGTTAAGTTCCATCAGGAACATAGTTTTAAAGAACTACCCACAGACATCAAAGGTTTTTCTAGTATGAGGGAAAGAAAGAAAAGAGCCACTACTGAACACACCAATATCATAGGTCATAAGGAGATGTTAGGTGTATTATATTATGAAAATCTTATCTTGTCAATTTCTTTCTGAAAAGACATAGTGGTGCCTAACATCCCTAAGATGTCAATCGCCTGAGTGAAAGAAATAGCCCAAACTATTTTCAGCTCTTTCCCTCCTCTGTGGGGCTTGGTGTGTGGCAAGGAATGGGAGGGAAAAAAAGGAGGGAAAGGCTCTGTGAGGTATTGCCTACATTTCTCTCCAGGGCCAGAGGCATGGTCAGGTGTGGAGACCGCTTTGCATCCAGCAGAAGCAGGCCTTCCCTTTCCTTTCTGAGAATACCTCTTTCCACTCTCACTGAGGGTCAGCATGCCACGAGACTGTGGAAAACATCAGGGTGGCTGAGAAGGTCGGGGGGGGGGGGATAGAAGCAGGCCTTCCCTTTCCTTCCTGAGAATGGCTCTTTCCACTCTCACCGAGGGTCAGCATGCCACAAGACTGTGGAAAACATCAGGATGGCTGAGAAGGTCTGGGGGGAGATCCAAAATCAAATCTTGCCAGACAACCCCTATTGAGGGTATATCTCTGGGATGTGTCCCCGGCATCACTAGATTGCCGCCTTCATTTATTTCCTGCTGATACAGATTTGGCACTTAAAGAGGCTATGAAATAGGCCACAGGATAAGTTCTGTCCTGTAAATGCCATTGCTGGTTGTACTTATCCTTAAAAAAATAATAGTCAAAGTTTAAGATGTGGTTGATGTTAACAGAATGACAGTGTTTCATTGCTTGCTGGTGATACCTTTTTTTAAAAAAAGTCTTGGTATGGTGACATCCGGCCAACTGACAAAGGAAGTGGTTTTGCAGGCTAGATGTTTTCTGAGTAAATGGAAATTTACAGCTTAATTGCTATCAAGTCATTTGAAGTTACACAAGGTCCTTTTTGTTTTGTTTGGTTTTTTAAGTAAGATGAATACTTCTGAAGCTGAGACATAGAAGGTAGCTCAAATCAGTTCCAGAAGCCCACACATAAAATCTCCTTTGAAACAAAATCCTGTGGATTGATATACGTAAACATGAACAAACGCACACATTCACACAAGCCCACTGACTAAAGACAGCTCTTGAGACCAAATGTAGCTTATGTCAGATTGCATTTATTAGTCTCTTAAGATGTTCCAGCGATCACATCTTTCTTTCTTTCTTTCTTTCTTTCTTTCTTTCTTTCTTTCTTTCTTTCTTTCTTTCTTTCTTTCTTTCTTTCTTTCTTTCTTTCTTTCTTTCTTTCTTTCTTTCCTCTTATTTTGAGCTAGGCTGAGTGTAACCTGTCTCTTTGGGTTCCTCACATCTCTGATCTGTGATCTCTGTATAGCACCCGCCTGGGCTTGTGATGCCAGCATGCTTGCTTCTTGGCTTGTTGGAGGAGATAATGGGATTTATGTGGGATTTTTTATATATATAATGTTGAAATTTACTTATAAACACAGGCCATTGGTTAGTTATACCAGGGTAAGTGCAATGGCATAAAAACGAAGGAGTGGACTCCTGCTCATTGACAAGTGGCCACTTTTCCTCTCTCCTTTTGCATTAACTCTTATGACTGGCATACAATGAAGGACACAAGCAGGGCCTTATTAATAATTACTTGTACCAAATGGTTATCAATGGGTGCTCAAACTATCTGTGAAAAAGAGGAGGAGGAGGTTTTTAGCAATCTGAAAGAAGGATCTCATTGGGCTTTAATGACACTATAGGCATTGATTTGTCACCACCAGAATCCTTGCCAAGTGTCGCCTTAGGGCAAACCCAGAAGCCTCTATCAAGCAATCTGACAGTAAAGGTCATAAGAAAAATTTCCTGGGAGCATGAGTGCCGTTGTCCTCATGCAGGGCACATTCAGATCCAAACCACTAAAATTATGAAACTGCAGATAGTGTATTTCATTCTACGCAGCAGGAGAATCTTACTTGTGTAAAAAGGATCTGCAGTGCTGGGTTGTGATCTAATTGTAGCCCAACATGACTGTTTTCCCTATGTATTCTTAATTTTACTGAACTGTTTCAGCCATCATCTTTGACACAATACATGAGCTGGGGCTTAATCAACTTAATAGACATGAGCCAAAGTAACAGAAGCTGTAGCAGAAAGTACATACTTTGTTAAGGATTCAACTCCCTTTGGTCATTTCGTTGAGGTCTATTAAGTCCTGTTTCATGCATTCATTCAACATGGCAAGGAAAAAGCTTGCTGGAGGAGCTGCATGAGGCATTCTTAGCTACTGCCTGAAAACCCATCCATATTCTCTGTTCCACCTCAAAAAACACAGGCATGAATCATTCAAATGTGGCCTCAACACATTCATGTATAACACAAATAAGAGACCTTCTGTATGGCAGTAAAGAGACCTTTTCAGTACCTCCCTGAATATATCAACCATACAAATCTTACAACTTCCCTTTGTGGTACTTGCTTGTGATCCATGTTTTCCTCATCATGTCTAAGTTCATAAAGCCAGGGGTGGTACCGTAACAGGGGTAACAAAACAACAGAGTTCAGGCCCAGTTTCAAGCTGAACTCAGTTAAATGGATATGCATAACTATAAATCAATTCAGGAATATTGGGTAGCATTTTATTTGTGCATTTAAATCTCTGGAGTTCTTCCTCCAGCAGCTAAAAACAAAATGTTGAATTTTTATAAACATCCCACTTAACTTGAGCTGAATGATTTAAGGACTATAACAGCAAAATCAGAGCAGACTGTCCACATTACAAATTGCACAACAACACATTGTTCACAAATGCCTTATTTGAATCATGGCTTACCACACAAATTAAACCATGAAATGTCCTGCAAAACATTGACATGGTCATTCGACTATTATAACTGGGGCTCCCTGAGCACCTTGGTGGCCCGGGATCTGCAGACATATTGATTCTTCCTGCCCCATGGGAAGAATGTTTGAAGTTCCAGACCACACAGGAAGAACTCGTGCTAAAGTTCCTGCCCACAATAATGTCAGATGGGAAACTGTATAGAGGCTAACCTCAGAAGAAGCCACAGCATGGACTCCTCTTGTGCCATTGTGCGTGCCGAAGTGAAGGGGGGGGGGCAAGTGTTGTTCTTCAGACCAGAGGAGACTGAGAAGCCTTTCAGAACTCATTAAGATATTTCTGGTCTTTTGCACAAAGGACATTCGTATCCATTTTCATTAGTCTTGCAGTGGTGACTACAATTCCTATTGCAGCAAAAATGACTGATACAAACACAAACAGGTATTTGTATTTACAGAAGACTGTGTGGACCCACTTCTTTAGATACAGATGTTTGGGGCAGAGGGTCAAGTCTACAGAAGTTGATGCCAAAAAAACTTGCCATGTCTCTTAAGGTGCCACAAGATTGCTGCAACAGACTATAAACCAACACAAGTATTCTTCTGGAATGAACCCCTCTGATGTTAAACCTACAATGAGTTCTGAATTATTTTCTAAAGCCTGCATAGGCACCCTGAAACCAAAAAGCATGTTTCATCCAGCATTTCTTCCAGAAGTCAAATGGTTTTAAATCATTTTACACAAAGCAAGTCTGTCAAAATGTAGATATTACCCTGCTATGATTATATGAACACAGGAAAGCACCTCACAGAGCTTGAACTATTGGTCGACTCTTAGTGTCAATGACACAGACCCTCCAGGATTTCAGACCGTGAGTCTTTCCCAGCCCTCATGGTGATGTTGGAGACTGAATCTGAAACTTTTGGCAGGCCCTGAGCTTTCCTACATGCCATATTAAGGCAAATGTTTAGCTACAGCTATATTTAGTCTTCTTTTTTTTTTTTTGGCTTTCTTACTTGGAAGTTCCTTAATACTTGGAAGTTCCTTAATGTGTGGCATTGATTAACAGTTGGGACTGATCATTCTAAGCATTTGCCTCATAAACAATAGCAGATACACATGTATCGCAGTGAAAAGTCTTTGCGGCAACTAAAGCAGATAAAGCTCATCTCTGAAAATGTGTTTGCTCCCTCTCCATTTCCTGTCTACAACAGAACCGACAAGAGGAGCAGTTGCCTAGCAGAGTCGATGTCTCTGAAGAACCCCAGAGTCTAAAACTTCAGTTTGGCCCTCACAGGATCAGGAATTCTCATCGTTTAAATCTGAAAGTCAATGCCAAACTAAATGTCATTATCACCATTATCATTATCACTCGGTGTGAGACTCAGAAATTAGTATTAAACAAAGAGGGCTTAGAAGCAATTCTCATCAATAAAATCATTCCTATGTCAATGAAATCTAATCTGTGTGTTCATGTCAGGCCCACAAATGAGTTTTTAAAATTCCAACAAAAATTCCATATTTTTATCAAGCTTTATCCCCTGATCTAACATTTTACTTTTAGGTATTTCAGCACTTCTCTCCACACCTTACAGAGGAGGAGGGAGCCAAGAGAGGAGGCCGTGTGGTACATACCCACTCCAATCTTCTTATCCGTTTTATGCCAAGGAGTCATTGCCAGCAAGACCAGCAGGCTAAGGGAGCCGTAATTCAAAGGCTGAAGGAAATAAGCAGCAGAATGGATACAATCCAAGCAGCGTCCTCAGGTGGAGAATGATGAATCAAAAAGCCATGTTAGCTACTGTAGCTACAGCTCTAGGCTTTGCTCTTCTCACGGTGTCTCCACTTCCTTCCTCTTTTTTCCCCCCTCTCGCTCGCACCCTCTTCAGTGAGGCTCCTACTCTAAACGAAAACGATAGAGGAAGGGGCAAACTGGGCGCTTTGCTGGCAGCACAGTGAAAGTAACACAAGCAAATAAGGACATCAGGGAAGTCACAACAAATACTAATCTCGGCTGAACACCTCAAAGGTTGATCAGGGGCAGATTCAAAAAACAATCTGCATTAAAATTCAAACAGAATGCATTTTAAAAAATGGAGAAGCTCTCAGATTGTTCTCTGGCAATAAACTTGCACATGGAAGAAGTAAAGACAAGCTTTTCTTACATACACATCTACTATAATGGGCACTGCAACACCAGAGCGATAAACTCTGATTAGAACATGCTTGCTCTTCTCGGAAAACACTGGCAAATTGAAGTGTTTGTTTACCGTATGTATGTATGTATGTATGTATGTATGTATGTATGTATGTATGTATGTATGTATGTATGTATGTATGTATGTATGTATGTATGTATGCATGCATGCATGCATGCATGTATGCATGTATGCATGTATGCATGTATGCATGTATACCACCCATCTAACTAGAGGCCACTCTGGGTGGTTAACAACAGTAACAGTAAACAATAAATAGAACATTTAAACCTACACAATAAGCCAAAACATCAGTGTGGTGTCCACCCTCGTGCCCCTTTGCTTGACCTTCAAGCCCCAGAGCACACGAAGGCAAACAAACCTCACTCTTTTCACTTGCTGCCACCAGGTGATCTCTTAATCACCATTTACTTCAGAAAGATTCAGGTCCACACTCCAAGTTCTTTTAAATAAAACTTTGATTTATTGAATACATAGATTGATTCATGAATACCTTCAGTAGTTAATCATTCCTCAGAATTTCACCAAACTACACTCTCGATTACACTGTCTCCTTGTCCCTACACACTCTAAAAACTCTCTCAGTCTCACACTCCGACTGAAATATTGACTCAGGCTCCCCCTCTTATAACATCTGTCTCAGCTCTGCCTCTCTGCAACATTAATATTCATACACCATTATATTACATAACATAGACCATAGATCAAGTAAATAGAGAATGCTACAATCAGCATTAGTGTAAAAACAAATGTAACATAATAAAAAAATAAAATAAATATAGCATTTAAACATTTCTCAGCAAGATCATCCAAACTACACTTATACAGGCCAGAATCCTACTGGTGCTTGTGTAAAGTTTGTGTAATTTGACACGGGTAATTGCAGCTTGTTGATAAAGTGTTGGTCACATACCTAGTCACATCCCCAACTGTGCAATCGAGATGTCCCCCAGTACCTTGTTCATTAGCCATAGCAAGTTACACAAATCTTAAACAAACATCAGTAGGATTCCACTCTTAGGGCCAGTCCACAGTGAAATTTGGTACTTAAAAAGGTCCTTATCTTCATTGCAACCTATTTTTACTCAAGTACCTGTCCCTGAAGACAGAACAAAGAACTGTTTTGCATCTCAATCCCAAAAAGAATGCCCTAGTCCCTTAGCCTGCCTTAAGGGAATCCAGGCTGCCCTTTGCAAAGATGGCAGCTGCAGCTTCCCTACCCTAAATGAAGCCACAGCCGCCATCTTTGTAAAGGGCAGCCAGCTGCGAAGGCCTGATGGCGACCTGGAAGCAGCTATTAAGGTAAGGGGGTGTCGGTGAGAGTGGGGTGGGGGCTAAGGTAGGGAAAGGAAGGGGGTGTGGGTATGCTGTTGGGTTGGCTGGGTGTGTGTGGGGGGCTGCCTATCAGCTTCTGCTCAGCTGATTGGTGGCCAGTAGGCAGAATCGGCTTCTCTGCCATGTGGTAAACTCTCCTGGGGGGGGACCCAATTTGTGGGTGAATGACTTTGATGTCCGATATCCAATCTTCACCAAAGTTGGCAAGCATGTTGGGGAAAGACATAGGAAGCTCCCTTGTGATTCTGGAGTCTCTAAATACCTGGGGAGGAGCTTTCCTGGGGGGGTCCTCTTTGTGACTATATAATTTGGGGGTCCGCAATCCAATGTTCACCAAACCTTCAGGATTTGTAGGAAAGCATCTGAGGAAGCTTTTCTGCATCTTTGGTGTCTCTAGGTCATCAGGAGCCAGTGTCATAGCCATTTAAAATGCAGACAAATAGACAGATCCTTTCATCAAAGAATATTCATATATTCATATTCGTTGATCCATAACCTTGATGAATAATGGATCAAAACGAATCACCATTTTTATTTGTCCCCATCTCTAGTTAGCACTGCATTTTACAGGCCTCTCTTCTCACAAGTTACAGAGGAATACCAGAAACAACTGCATAACCTGATGTGGAGATGTCCTGCAAGAGTAAAATCCACAGATACACACCAAAAGTTTCATGGAGAAGTAGGAGTCCTTTGCCTGTGTCTTTTCTTTTTTACCATTACCAGTTTGCTTCTGAATTTTTTTTTTTAAAAAAATACATTTTATGAACGTATGTGATTTTGCATATAGAGTTATCATCCCATCTGGTTTCCACTTAGCCTCTTGACCAAACTATAGCACATCTCTTGGCCTTATAATTCTGCTTTCTGTAAAGTACAAAATAAGGTTTAAAGTGTAGCTGTGGGTTTTGGAACTCAGACCTTTAAGTACTGTTGGACAGCTATCTGGTTGGGAGGTGCAATGTATTCGTGAAGGTGAACGGTGCAGCCAGTGTTGGACCACATCCTCAATGGCAGCTACTGTATGAATATAAAAAGGTAAAGGTTCCCCTTGACATGTTTAGTCCAGTTGTGTCTGATTCTAGGGGGCGGTGCTCATCCCGCTTTTCAAGCCGTAGAGCCAGCGCTTGTCCGAAGACAGTTTACATGGTCATGTGGCCAGCGTGACTAGGGAACGCTGTTTTACCTTCCCACTGAGATGGTACCTATTTATGTAATCGCATTTACATGCTTTCGAACTGCTAGGCTGGCAAGGAGCTGGGACAAAGCGACGGGAGCTCACTCCGTTGTGTGGATTCGATCTTACGACTGCTGGTCTTCTCACCCTGCAGCACAGGCTTCTGCGGTTTAGCCCACAGCGCCACCACGTCCCTACTGTATGAATATACACCCCCACTAATTTTTGCAACCTTCTTGTGACAGCACCGGCAACGTGGCATTTATTAACATGGCAAGGTTTGCAGATCACATTTGCACGTGAGTGCCAAGATCAATCTGAATGGTCGCTGTATTACATACACATACTACTTACCTCTACATGCACTCCTTGCATTTCATTCTCCTCTGCCTACCTGTTCATATTTTTCTCCCCCCCAATAGACAGGAGCTTATGGCTCCTCCAGAATTTCTCTACACTAACTGGACTATCTATCTATCTATCTATCTATCTATCTATCTATCTATCTATCTATCTATCTATCTATCTATCTATCTATCTATCTATCTATCTATCTATCTATCTATCTATCTATCTATCTATCTATCTATCTTAATGTATCCTGATACATATTTTTAGGTGCTGGGAACAGCCATGGTGTGCAAATTTGCATCTGAACTAGCCAATCTCTGTAGGAATCGTTTTTAAAGATGGTTGTGTCCGTTTTTTAAATGGAAGGCCATATCTAGCGATGGAATTAAAGGACTTTTGGAATTAAAGGACTCCCAGTCCCTTAATTTGAGAGGAATGCCTCAGACCGAATTGTGGGATTGGTACCCTAAAAGCAGCAGGAGGTAGAACAGCCCTCTCACCTCCATGCCATTCCTGCACTGCTTCTTCAACCCATTAGAAAAGTCCTCTGCTGCAACCTGGAAGTTGTGAGGATTCCGCATGACCTTGCAATCGTACTGGGGGGTAGGGATGCATTCCATACAAAAGGTATGGAAGCAACCACTGCTTGAATCTTTGTGGGTCACAGGGAATCCCCACAACTCCCATGGAGCTGCATGGGAATGGTATGCAAGTGAGGGGGCTGCTGGTTTGAGGGTTCCCAGCCTAATTCAGCCTGGGGTTTTCACACTGAATTATGGGACTTGGAGTCATTTAAAAATCCCATCCCTAATGGTATCAAAATCATATATAATTGCATGTCATCCACTTGAATTCAACTTATGGTTACCTTTGCCAGGGTTTTATAGGTAGAGAGTACATACTCAGAAATGTTTCACCATTCCCTTCTTGGCAGGTGTTTATGGAGGGGTGGAGAGCTGCTGCAGGATCATGGAATTTGGGTACACAGACTGGATCCTCTTTTGGTAGGCTTATATTTGGTGCATAAAATTTTGTTTGCTTGTTTACTTTGGCCAGGCCATGAAGTAGTCAATCTTGAATACATGAATAATGTCCATACATAGACAGACTTCAATGTGACTCCCAAAAGATTCAAGATCAATGTTTTAGAAGAGGGAGGAAAATCCATGTTTACAACTTAACACCAAGCATAAGTCATAAATCACTGCATGTGAGATGTAACCAAATACCCCAAACTCTTAGAGCCAATTAATATTCAAGTATGTTTTGTGTAATTGATATTTCATCCAGCATTCCATTTATTTCCATAAGTCTGACAAAGTGGACGTGTCCGTGAAAGCTCACATTACAATGTAATAGTCTTTAAAATACACGTTTTTGTCCTTTTTTTGTTTTGTTTTGTCCAGATTTTGCCTGATATGCTTGACCAGACTAACACAGCTACCTCTTCAATCTATCTGTCTGTCTGTCTGTCTGTCCATCTGCCTATCTAGCTATTTAGATTTATACCCCGCCCATCTAGACCGATAGTCTACTCTGGGTGGCATAATAAAATTTAAAAACAATAAAACCAATAACATGCAAAAATCCAAGATGTAAAAAGCTAGATATTAAAATACAGCAGGAGAGAAAGCCTGCCTATGTCTTTAGTTTACGTCTAAAGACACCCAGAGAGGGAGCCAGGCGGATCTCTACAGGCAAGTTGTTCCAGAGGCGAGGGGCCACTGCTGAGAAGGCCTGGTTCCTCGTTCTTTCCTTCCGGGCCTCCCTTGGCATTAGGCCCCACAATCACCCGGCCTGG